GCCGCCGGCGAGTGCCCTGGCAGCTCGCCGCGCGCGGGCGCCGCCGCCTACCGCGGCAGCGAAGGGCCCGCGGGCCGCGCGCGGCTGGGGAAGGACGGTCAACAGACCGGCGTGGCCGTGGGCGTCATCCCGGGGGGCATCGCAGAGATGTACCTGCAGCACCCCGACTTTGAGCGCGTGAAGCTGCTCGGCCGCAAGGGCTTCGTGCGCGTCGCGGTGGAGCACGGCGCCGACATCCTGCCGGTCTTCATGTTTGGGGTGTCACAGATGATGTCGTTCGGCCCCCCCTGGCTGATGGTCATCGGGCGGCGGCTCCGCATGTCGGTGGGGCTGCTGTACGGCCTCTGGGGCACGCCCGTCCCGCGGCCGCGGCGCATGCGGATGGCGGTCGGGCCGCCGGTGCGCGTCGGGCCTCCATTGGCGCGGGGGACCCCGGAGTTTGAGGCGCGGGTCGACGCAGTGCATGCGGAGGTGGTGGAGGGCCTGCGGGCGGTGTACTACCGCCACCGCGAGGCGTACGGCTGGGGGGACCGCGAGCTGCTGATCGTGTGAACCCCTGCTGAGGGGCGGCGGCCCGGGCCGCGGCCCATGCCGCGGGTGTGCGGGGCGGCGCCAACGCTGCGGGTCTGCTGCGCCGCGGGCGCTCCATAGCCACAAAAGCCACTCGTGAAGCTGACGTTGCACGCTTTTGCCTAGTCTGTTGGTGCTGCTGTGCAGCAGCTGCCAGTGCTGCCGCTGTCTTGGCATTTGCAGCTGGCTGTATGGGCAGCTTGCGCAAGAGCGGCTCGGGGTGTCTGACTGCGACGGAGGCTGGCAGCTTGAGAGTGCGGCGGTGGCGCAGCCACCACCTGTTGCGCGTGTGAGCGTGCCCAGCCCACGTGCGGCGACAAAGCTGTACTGTTAGCCCACCATGCCGGGCACACAAACCGTATTGCCTCCTTCATTTATTGGCTCGCCTTCAAGTGCATCACCTATGACTGCCACGGGGCGGTTGGCCCCACGCAAAGTTGACACCTCCCTTGCTATCCCATTCTTCCCCGTCAACCCTGCACCAATCTGCGCACAGCACGGCCCTCCGCACCGGCCATCAGCGAACGGCGCAGCGCCCTGATCCTCTTCCGCTGCCAAGTGGAATGACAGGCCCGACCCCTCCGAGCACGGCGCTGTGCGCAAGCCCCTCCACCCCGCAGCGTTTGCATCGCCCGCATGGCACGCGCACCGTGACGACTCGCGCGGCGCAGTCCCGGTTGCACAGGAGGGTGCGGCAGCCACGGCACGCCGCCGCCATCCGGCTGTCTGGTTGCAGGGCGCTCTGGTGTTGGATGCTGACATGCACGGCCTCCATGCAGCGCATTATGCACGCATACACTGCACTTGGCTGCCTTCCACTCATAATTGATCCCTGACGTGAGCGATTTGTACCGCCCCCAACTTCAGAACAGCTGGATCCAACGGAGGCCTGACTGATGGCCTGTGCACAGAGGATATTGAACTGCTTGCCCCATATCATCGTTTTGTAAACCTTGCCACACATTTGCAGGAATCCAAACATGGAAGGGGCAAGCCGGGTGTTCAAGAGCATCAAGCAACCCAACAGCAAAGCACGGGCAAAGCGTGATGAGCAGCACCCCAGCCTCACTGCTGCTGTTACTGCTGCGGTCGCCGGGGGGGCGGCCGCAGCGCGGGCGCAGGCCCGTCCCCCGCC